AGTTAACTATAATATCTTTAACTATTATTTTTAGTAAGCGAGACTTAATTTTCCTTCTTAGTATAACTATTATATATATTATATAAAGCTAGTATTTTAATCTTATCTTATTATTACGTTTTATTATATTAGCGTAAATAAGTTTAGCTAAAAGTCTTTTTTCTTTTAAGCTATAAGATTACTAAGGTTACTAAGATCCTAGCTTTAAGTCTAGGAAAGAGTAGCTCTTATCCTTAAGTTAGGTATTAATCTCTATAATATAAATTATATTAAAGAAATTATCTCTTATATTAACTTTAGCTAGTTTCTATAAGTATAACCTTATTAATTATACTTTATTCTCTATAGTATAATATATCTTAAATAGCTATATACTAGCTTCCTTAGCCTCTTTAATTATTCCTAACTTATAATAAACCTCCTTACTAAGAGAATCGCGAAGACTAATAAGACTAATAAGTATAGGATTTATCTTAATCTTTCTTAGCTTAATAGTACTATCGTTAGGTAGTGCCCTAGGATTAGTATACTAGCTTATATAGCTAGCTGCTTTTAATAACGCCTTATTTAAAGGGCGTTCTAAGAACGCTACTATTATATTATACTAAACTCTTTAATTAATATAGGCTTAGTAAGTTACTACGTTAATATTATATATAACTTACTATAGTTATACTTACGTTATAGTACCTAGAAAGGTTAGCGAATAAAGCTATATACTAACTTAATTATATACTTTTAACCGCTTTTCTTAACCCTTAGCGAATATAGTATAGATTTAAGATCTATATAAAGCTTATTACGAGCCCTAGTCTCTATAAATAGTAGAGATAGGTATAGTAATAAAGCGCTTTAGTTTTAAACGTATAGACTACTTTATTATTTATTAATATAGCTTACTAAAATATTAGTATATCTCTTATACCCTTCTACTAACGAAACTTTAAAGAGTATTATAAGGATAGGACTTTAATTTAATAAAAGTTTTCTACTTTCTAGATATTCGCTTTAAATACTTAGTTAAGAAGTATAAGGGCTAAAAGATAAAGTATAATATTAAATAATAAGTCGTCGACCTTATAAAAGATAAAGGTTTTTCTAAGAACCTAATATAAGCTAGGGTTAGTATAAGTACTAAGGAGTTACTTATAGGTTTTCTCTTTATTCTTATCTTTTTATATACCTAAGCGTTACCTTTATAGCTAAAAGATCCCTTCCTCTCTCTAGGTTTTTAAGGAGGAGTAGCTAGATATCCCTATAGTAAATTATCTTAAAATTATTATCTTTTAGGTTAAATTTATCTATATAGTTTTCCTAAGTCGCTTTATCTTTATAGCTAAAGTAGTAGTCGTTAACGGCGTTCTTATTAAGTCGGTTATAGGCGAGTACTCTAAGCTATATAGCTATATATACTTAAAGTAAAACTAAGAAAGCTAATTATATATACTAGCGCTTATTAAGGAAAACTAAAGTATTATAGACCTAATAATAATACTATATAAGATATATATTATTAACGCTTATTATAGGCTTCTTATTTACTAATATATTAAGCTTATAATAAATAGTTAAATACCTATTAATATACTATTAAGTAGTAAGCTAATTATATAATATATAAACTTTTATAATTAAGATAAAACTTATATTATTAATCTCTTTATTCGCTTACTTACTAAAATTAACTTTAATAGACTTTTAATATACTTAAAGAAAAATTCTTTTATAGGTATATATAATACTTCTCTTATAAATCCTTCGATATAAGTTAAATATTTACTTTAAAAATATTATAATATCTTCCTTTATCGATTTTATAAGATAATTAAGTAGATTAACTAATAAGTATATATAGTATTTAGTCTTATTAGCCTACTACTTAAATATAATAAAAATAGTAGCTTACCTTATTTATTTTTATTTTACTCTATATATATTAACTTCTATTATCTCGGCGTGCCGCCTTTTAATAGCCCTATAATTTTAAAGTTACTTACGCTTTAACTAGTAGTAGGCTAGGGAGTACTAAGCTCGTAGTAAGCTTTTTAGTACCGCTATACTTTACTCTTATATATCTTAATCTTCTAGGGATTTAAGCAAAAATTTATAGCTAAATAGTATATTACCTATTAATTAATATATTTTAACGCTATTAAAATTAGTATATTAGCGGTTTAATTAGGGGGTCGACGCGGCCGGGGATAGCGGGGCACCTCGGAGCTATAGCCGAGGGGTGGGGACAAATAGCACACGCCCCGCCACCGGCGCTTCGCAAAATGTCCTCCGAAAAGAGCAGCCTATCCTCCAGAAATAGAAGCTTTTCCTCTAAAATGGAAGCACATTTGCGGTGAACCTACACTTTTGTCGTATGTTTGTATATAGTGGAGTGACTCTTGGTTAGGGCTCGTGTGTGTACTGTAGTGTGGTGTTCGGTGCGTGAGTGTCGGTGTGTTGTTTCCAGTCCGTCGCGCACCCTTGCGGATGCTTGCTCCTCCTGTTCTGTGTGTGTTTCCTTGTAAACATATTGACTTACTCGAGGATTGTTAATGTGGCGCTCACTCTGTTCGCTGCTTTCCAGTCGAACCTTCGGCTCGCCTGCACCTCCAGAGGTAATTTCCATAGTCATAGAATGGCCCTCCAGGGGTTAACCTCAGAGCTGGATCTCCTGCAGTATGACTCCCTTGTAAACGGATGAAGTGTACTTGTAACCGGTTTGTGAAAGCGAGTAGGTCTACGTGGTGTCGGGCAGTGGGAGTCACAGTGACGGGTTCATGTGGTGTTCTGCGTGTGCAAGTGCATCAATTCATCCTTACTCTTTGCGATTGGGTGCGGTCACACCCGCGGTGAGGGTATCGTCAAGTCCCGTCCCGATCCGCTAAATCAGACCGCCAACGGCAACGGCGACGCTCTCATGCATCCGAGAACGGCCAAGATATAAAGACAGCATCCAACTATAGATCCAAAGTGCGAACTCCCATAGCAAAGAGAACCCTCGTCCGCTTCTCGACCAAGTCTCCTTCTGCAGACAGGCCGAGGTCCCTCAACAGGCGGTTCGCGTCCCTCACTAGACGACAAGTCAGACAGAACATGAAGGAGAGAAGAAGGCCCCTGACCAAGGGAATACTCACCTGCCATACTCAAGGCTGCCGCCACGGTAGCGGGGCAGCTCGCCAGCGGTTCGCCGTTTGCCGGACTGAGCAAGGGAGCCAGACGCGCGTTTCTATCCGTAGCCACGCTATTCTCGATTCTCACCACTGCGTTGGCGTCCCTGCCGGTGCAAACCGGTTAGTAGAAAGAAAAGAGGACGGCCTCAGGGAAGGCAAGTTAGACCCACGACACGTTTATGCGTCGGTTTATGCCCTGCAGCATACCGCGTATTTCCTGCAAAAGAATCTCCATTCGGTCCATTCTATCGACCAAGCGGGCACCGCCATCGACGGCGGGTAAATTCCCACAAAGCGCAAACTGTTCCGACAGGGCATCAAAGCTGCCGGAAATGGTCCCGAAATCCGGCTGACGGGGTGCTGCTCTTGCATCCATCGTTCCACTGTAAAAAGCTGCTTGCGAGGTCGGACCTCACCGATCGAGGTGAGTGTGAGAATGGACAAGAACGCCTCCAGCTGGACGTTGTCAAGAGTCGCGTCACCCTAGTGACCAAGTCGAGTACGACAACACGGGCTGTCCGCGCAGTCAGCTGACTGACCCACTTGCTTTCCTAAGCAAGTTCCTCCGGACTTTTGTTTGCCCCTCGCCGTGCTGCGGGAAGAGAAGGTGGCCTACCCTAGATCAATCATCAAGGCCCTTTCATCTTCGAGAAAAAAACGATGCACTTCCGTGATCCCGACGGAAAAGTAAGAGGACCGACAGTCGCCCCGGCGGGGGATCGTCCCTTTCATACATCCCTTTCCAAGGTCTTTATAGGATCTGTCCGTCCTGTAGTGGAGTCATGCAACCCTTTCGGGAAGCTGACGAATGACGCGCCGTCTCCGCTCCACTCGACAAGCTCTTAACACTCGGTCTTCTCGCGGCCCTAGAGTAATAGAATAGCTCGCTAGTGCTTCTTGCTCGTTGTGGACTCTCGTATCTCGAACACAGCCTCCCATGCCGACTACGCCTCGCCTTTCGGATGAGCTCGTCGCGACGATAATGCCTTGCGCTTTCGCAACCAATTTAGCTGCCTAGTCATCATCGAGGTCATAGAGAACACGAATGCGGTCTTCCCACGGGGCCACCGCATATTCTCTGATGACTTCCAATCTTTGACCTGCTGACTCTCCTACGTGTGCATGGGCCAATGACAGTCTGCGGTTCTTAGTAGCGCGCCCGGGCGCCCATGTATTGGCCGCCGGCATTGACGGACCCTGGAAGGGGCCGATCTCCTGTTGGCAGGAGGGGCGCAGTAATCATGTGACTCTCTCAGCCACATTTCAAGGGCCCGATAACGAAAACCAAGGGCCCATTAACGTCGCCCTTTGCCTGCCCTCTTCGCCAGGGGAGCGTTTTCGATACTCTCTACGAATGTCTGCCCGTCGGCATTCGTGTCTTCAAGAGCCAAAACTTCCTAGCCGGTCTAGGAAGGAGAGTGGCGCAACGATCGATAGCAGATGAGAAGACGCTGGAATACTTCATGCATAATAGTGTCGAAGATCCTGTCAGAGTCATCATGCAAGGGAACAAGGCCTCTTGTCGAAAACAAATGCTCATGACTGGCTATTCGTCGAAACCAAGTCCTAGGCTAATATGGGTTCGGCCATGCGGGCAGAGAGAATAAGCCATTCGCGGAGTCGCCATATTACTACTTCCTCTAACCCGAATATTACATCTGTATACATAAGGAAAACATAGAAGCTACATGTATTGAAATGGCTCGGCAGCCAACCGGACCGGACCGTCAAGGCAACACAACATGAGCTGGCATGTCAAAGCCAGACTCGTCGTGCCGCTTCGATGGCGGACCGACCCTGCGTGCACCACCTGTCGAGCCTGTCGCACGGATTCGATCATTCGCAGTAGTCAAGATCCTCGTCGCCCTCGCGGGCGTTTCCCTGAGGCCCGTTGCTGCCGACGTTCCCCTTAGGTCCCTTGTTGTTGGCGACGGGAGACAAGGCTCCGCTGCTGCCTACTTGGGCGCTGGGGCCGGTGAACAAGACCTTCAAGTCCAACTTTGCCTCGGCGTTGACGCTAATCCTGGGCTCGAGTCCCTTGGGAACCTGGTCCATGTTGCGGACGCTGTCGAGGTTGAATCCCTTGAGGGAGACTGCGTTCTTCGACTCGGCACTCCGGGCCTTGCGCACGACAGACTTGGGTTCCACCGACACGTCTTCGACCTTGCACTCTTCTGCGATGCGCAGAGACATTTTGACGTACTGCTTGCTCTCCTCCGGTGACTGGTCAGGGCTGGCGCACACGAAGCAGTAGTTCCTTTCAACTGTGAACTTGAATTCTCCGATGGCCGACGCGTTGGCAGCCGTCTCAAAGGAACCAAGAGTCGAGTGTACGGTGACTGCCTTGCCCTGTTCGGGGACAGCAGGCTTGTCAACCTTGTTGTCCTTGTCCTCTTTGCCGGTCTTGTCACCCTTTGCCTCCTCGGCGCTGCCCTTGGGCTGCTCGCCAGCCTTCTGCGGCGTCTGGATCTTGGGACAGTAGGTGAGGATGTTGATGTCGGCCACTCCCTTGTCATTGACAAAGTTTGTGTTGGGGGCCACGACGGCCTTCAAGTTGATCTTTTCCTTGGCCTGTTTGGTCAGCTCCTTCATGTCGAAGGCTCCCTCGCCATTCTTCAACAGGTCGGCGAGCGCGTCCAGAAACTTGGGGGACTCTGTCGCGCTGCCCTCGGCGCCATCCTGGTTCTGGAATCTGCACGCGATGCAGCAGGTGCGGTCGGTCCTGTAGGTCGAGCCTTCGCCAAACAAGCAGTGGTACATGCCCATTCTGTCATTTGAGTACAAGGAACTGCAGTAGCCGGTGATTTCTTGCTCCGAGTTGCAGGGATACTTGAATTTGTCTCCCATGTCGTTTGGAATACTCGCACCAGCAATGCCGTCCTTGTATTGTCCGGTGCTGTTCTGGTAGCAGGCGCTGAGGGCCAGTCCCGGCACCTGTGTCCTGATGACATGGTCCGCCGGCAGAGTCGGGCCACGAGGGGGGGCCAAATTGTCCTTGTCGGCTGGCTTACCCTTCTCCCCCGGTTGCTGGGGAGCGGCAACGACGCCGTGCACGGCGGCAACGGTGAGGAGGGCGGCGTAGGCCTTCATGATCGATTATGGCTTTCTCTGTTGAAGAAATCAAGAAAAAACAGTAGACAGAGTTTGGCGAAGAAGCTGCAAGAAAGCGAGTGTGATGGCGCGAAGAGAGGTGAAGAGGGAAAGGGGGAGAGGGAGCAATAGACACGCGCTATATACACGACACCGGCGAAGCAGGTGGGAGCGGCCAATTTCCTAGCTTCATGCTGCCCCATGTCGGGCGCGGCGATACAATCAACTACACAAGTATGTATATACGGAGCACATGACGAGCATATTCCCTCCAACCTCGCGGCTGCGCCATCATCATTGGCCTGCCACGTTAGCCCCCGGCATGTCCTGCCTAACACGGAGTGCTATGAACCCGGTTGCGGGATGTCCGTGAAGAGGTGATTTCCGCGGCCCCACTAATATGGGTCGGGTCGGAATGGTCAGGCGTGTCGAGTCATTTCGGGAGCCCACCGACCACCACCAAGGAGACGGAAATATGTATGTACATACATTCATGCGTGCCACGATGCGAATGCGAATGGACAGGGTATATGTACACATGCATCTACGTGTATCCGTAGATATGATGGTATCAAGGTGGGGGGTCAGGGGGCGACGTCTGGTAAAGCAAGGCGAACAAGGCTAATAAGTAAATGTAAAATACTTCGAACACCCATTAAGTTGCCAATGCAAGGGGCTTAACGGCTGAATATCCAGCCCGAAGAGTGAATATCGTATACCTATATTCGACTTTCTTAAGGGGGACCCCCTAGAACCCCCCTTCCGCCTATAGCGGCTAACTAGCTATATAAACTACTTCCTAGTAGGCCTAGTCTAACTATATACCCTATATCGTACCTTCCTCTTCCCTATAGCTTATAGAAGACGATGTTTAGTTATAGTAGAGTGGTAGATACGGTAGATCGCTTAGCTATTGACTCTAACGCCGTTATTAGTTAGCGAGGCGCATCTTTATCCCTATCTTATAGTTAGCCGTAAATATAGTACGTAGGAAACGTAGGCGTATAACCTTCCGTCGGCGTATAGTTATAGAGGCTCTAGCGATCGAAAGGCGCCTTAAGGAGTAAGCCTTAAAGCGAGGTAACCCGTAAGACGGCAATATAGCTAATACCGGCTTAGAAGTCGCGTATAGCGAGATTAGTAACTATTTTATCCTTTATTAGGCTCTAGCATTTATAAATAGTAATAGTAAACGCTATAATTAAGGGAAACTACGTATAAGCGTAGGTCTCGTTACCTATAAGGAAGTCTCGCCTAAGTAGGAGGATAGGTAAGATTTTCCTACCCTCGTTAGTTATTAAATATAGCGGTCCGTCGTAGCTATTAAAGTCTACTATAATAACGGCTAGGGGGTCTTTTAATAGATTAGCGCCGGCGCTCTAAGCGATATCGTATATAGTACCCTAAGCACCGTTAACTTAGCTAGCTAGTTGCTATAGATTAGTAGTAAGTATTACCTTAGTGCCCTTAGTAATAGGGAACTTATTAGATAGATTGCTAGTATTATCGCTTAATACTTACCCCGCGCCCTTGCCTTAATTCTTTGCCCTTACTTATATTACCGGGGCTTTAAGGTATACTATATACTCTTAATTATATTAGTTAACTTAGGCCTTTATAGAATATACTTATAAAGCGGTCCTAAAGCTATTAACTTCTCTCTACGTTAGCGTAGCCTATACCTAGTTACTAAGGAGGTTCTAGGATAATATAAATAACTTAATATCGCGTAGTTCTTATAACGCTTAATAGAATTAGGCCTAATTATTACTAGCTTAGCGCTATACTATAGTTAGTAATATAGTACGGTTAAATAACTAGTAGGTTACTTGCCCTCTCCTTTTTAATAAAGATAGGCTAGTACTAGTTAAATATAAGGGCTTTTATTAGACTAGTAGTAATTAGAAGAAATCGCCTATTAGTAGGACGCTTATACTACTAAAGAACTCGAGGTTACGCTATAGAAAGGCCTACTATAGACGGGAATCGATCCGCGCGAGCTACTTAAGCCCTAGTATACTCTTTTTATCGATAATAAGGTATTTAATATACCGTAGGCGGGACTAAAAGGCGGCTATATCGGCTAAGGGAAGGTCGGTAAAAGTACCTCCTACTAGGAAGTATAGCAACGAATAAATAGTACTGCCCTATATCTAGTTACTCGTAACGCCTATTAGCGCTACGCGGTAAATAGGGCTAAGATTTAGTAGGGCGGCTGCCTAAAGATAGGATAAAAGCACCTTAATAAGGAATAACTAACCTATACTACTACTACTATTAACGTAGAAAAGGATTTAAATAGAACTTTACGCTTTAAAGTAACCTATAAATATATTATATATAAGCCGTTATTATAGATTTAGCGTAATACGCTAGTAAGAGCTAAGGACCTCTATATTACTAGCTATAGGGTAGCTAGCGATAAGGTCTTTTTAGTAGCTATCTTAAAGTTCTAGATATATACCTATATACTATATCTAGTTATAATTAATATCGATATCGCGGCGGCTAAGAAGGTTAAGATCTTCCTAAGTAAGGGGGTTCCTAGGTAAAAAGGCGGCGAGGCAAATCTAGTCTTTATTATTAAATTCTTCCTCTATAGGTAGAGCCTTATATTAATTATCTTAGGGTTATAATAGTATATCTTTTAGCTAACCGTAATAGTTATTACTATAACTATAGTATAGCTAATAATAAGGGAATACCTTAGCGTAAGAACTAAAAAGCTAGCCGTTAACTATAAGAAGATTATTAACCCGCCGATATAAGTAGTTTAATATTAGCTTTATATAATAGTAATCTAGCTACTATTAACCTTTTAGATTAGCTTAATAATAAGGAAAGTAAACTAGTATATAAAGCCTACTATTAATATTGCTTAGCTACTATAGCTTTTACTTAAAAGGGTCCTTAGGGCGGAAATTCTAGTATTTTAAGAAGGAGATATAGCTTAGGTCTACTAAGGCTTCTAGGTATTAGGTATACTTTTCGTAAATATTAAGGGCCTCGTTAACCTTATCGCTATTAATATAGAGGGAGTAGGAATATTTATTAGGGTTACGATAGTCGATATATAAGTAGGTTTATAACCCTTCCTATAACGGTAGGCTAAGGAGTATATAGCTAACCTCCTACTTTAAGTATTCCCGCTTAGTAACTAGCTAATTTAGGAGCTTTAACGTAAAGGAAATTAAGGGGTTATAGTCCTTAACCTAGGGTATTAAGACCCTCCCGATTTAAGTAAAAAGCTCGCTCTTCTTTTCTAACTTAAAGTAGTATTTAGCCGCGTAGTTAATTACTTACTATAGACTTATATAGGGCGAAATATCTATATTAGCTAGCTATATAACGATAAGTAAGCGGCTATAGTAGTTAATCTAGCTATTATTCTACTCGCCCTTAAAGCTTTAGTATTTTATAAGAGTACTACTAAGAGGTATAAGCTAATAAAGTACTTAGGTATATAGTACTAAGGTATTAATAAGGTATTAGTAAGGAATTATACTTACCTTACTTATAAGTTATAGACTACTTACTACCTTAACTAAAGAGGAGAAATTCCTTTTCTTATAAGCTTTAGTTTTACGATAAAGAGAATATAATATATATAGCGTAGTACCTCTAGCTATCTCTACTACCTAACTAATTATACTATAATATATATTCCCTTTTAATTTCTAAAGCAGTTTTTTTTAGTTACTTAGTAGAGATAGCTACTTAAAGAAGACTATATAACGCTCTTATAGCGTAATATAGTAGTTAACTAGTTAAGGCCTCTTTATTATATATACTAAGTATCTACTTAAGAGATAAAGAATAAAAAGATATATCCTTAAAATAGACCCTTACTATAGATAGCGTTATAACTATATTAAAGATATCGCTACTTATAGGTATTAAATAACTATCTTATAAGGAAAAGCTTATAGCTCTATAAGCGCGCGTTAAGGAGCTAAAAGAAACGAAATACCTATAAGATCGCGTTATATAATTAAAGGAGGAAATTACTAAACGCGCTAGTACTATTACTATTTATTTAAGGAAGCGTCGACGGTCTTACTCCCTTAAATTAAATAGTAGTTATAGTAGTAAGGTTAAGATTAAAAATATCGCTTAACTATCTTAACCTATTAATATATAGAAACGTTTAAACTAGACTTACGATTTAAAGGACGCTTTTAAAGTAGCGCTTAAACGTTTTTATTATAATAAAATAAAGATCCTTTATATAGTAGATTATATATATAGCGATTATAAAGCGAGAAAGCGCTAATACCTTAAAGAGTAAACGCTAATTAACTAAACTAAATATAGTATAGATTAAGTATACTTTAAAGAATAGATACTTATCTTAATTAAGGATATAATAAATAAGGAGATACTATTAATAATATAATTAAAGGAGGTTCGCTAATAAGAAAGCTAGTCTCTCTTAGAGTTTAGCTTATACCTTAACTCCTTAGAAAGGTATTTTAAACGCTTATTAAAAAAAACGCGTACTCTTACGTTTTTTACTAAGCTAGAGCTATAACTTTAAAACTAAATTAACCTTTATTTAATACTTATTTATACTTATTAATAGGAAGAGCTTATATAAATCGCTTAATAATATTAAGATACTCTTAAGGTATATAAGTAAAAGCGGAATTTTAGGAAATTATAGAATTACGTAAGATTATATAATAAAGGGGAAGAAGGAGTATAAGGTAGGGTTTTTAATAGAATTTATTAGTAATATATTAGTATATAGAAGAGGTATTAAAGTTAATAATTATCTTTCTATCTACTAGCGGACATACTATCTTATATAGATAATTATAGCTAAATAGAAGAACCTTTTAGGACTAGATTTAGGATGCTATATAGCCCTAAGACTAAGGAATTTAGTAATACCTTAAGTATATTAAGAAGTATCTTACTTCTATTAATATTTATATTTAAAGGAGGTTAGTCGTGCTAGTATTCTTAAGAGGTCTTAGCTAGTATTCTAAGCTAGCTCT